GGATGAGGTGCGGGAGATGTGGGAGACACGGTTGAGGGCGTTCTCGACCACCGAGGAGGGGAAGTTACGGTCCTTGAAAAACGAGGACAACTGAGATGTACGGGAGTGGAATGCCTCATCCTGGGAGCAGATGCGGCGGAGGCGAAGGAATTGGGAATAGGGGATAGCATTTTTGCAGGAAGGTGGGTGGGAGGAGGAGTATTCTAGGTAGCTGTGGGAGTCGGTGGGCTTGAAATGAATATCGGTTTCTAGGTGGTTGCCCGATATGAAGACAGAGAGGTCCAGGAAGGGGAGAGAGGTGTTAGAGATGGTCCAGGTAAATAAAGTTTGTTTTGAGGACTTTGTTCAAGAAGGAAAATGAAGCAGAGAACTTTGGGCAGGGAAGAGTTTCAGAAGCTGGGGCTAACGGCACAGCCATCGATAGTGGAATGATTAAAATCAAGAGATATTACAACATTGTAAATAAAGGAGTGCTGATCTGTCAGAACATTGGAGAGCTGGAGGAGAGTACAGAGATCGGGAGGAGATGAAATCGTGAAGGAATAAGTAAGAAAGGGGAAGAACTTTAAAATGAAGGCAGACATTAATGGGGAGCAAGTATAGATCAGTGAAAATAGGTTTGATCAGTCATCAGGATTTCTTGTAAGGTAGGACAACGCTACCTCAAACAGCACCTTCCAAACCCATGACTACTACACTCCAGAAGGACAAGGGCAGATCATTGGAAAACCCTGAAGCTCCACTCCAAACACTCATTATCCTGCACTGGAAATATCTCCTTCACTGTTCCTGGGTGAAAAACCCAGAACTCCCTCCCAAACAGTATTGTTGGTGCTCCAAAACCAAATGCAGTAGTTCAAGAAGGAATCTCACCACCATCTTATGAAGGACATGTAGGGATGAGCAACTGCTGGCCCAGATGCTCACATCCTCTAAGTAAACGAAAAATAAACAACAATCTTCAATATCAATTCCACTTCGCCACGTTCTCCCTTTTCCCTTAATTCCTTTAGTACCAATTAAAGTAAACGAAATTAACATCGCCTTGAGTGTGCTCAGTGGCCAAGAATTCACAACTGCATGGAGTAAAGCATATTAAAAATTTACAAACCTGAGTGAAGAATCATCACATTTTCTGAGTCATAAAAGGCTGTGTACTAGATTCCCCAGCCAAGGAAAGCATTTTCCTCATATATATCCTGTCAAGCTCCTAAGGACTGCATAGGTATCAATTAAATCATCTTTTCTCCTTCTGACATCTAGGTACTGTTGGCTCACAATGTGATTGTCAGAAGCAAGGCCAAATATTGACCACTCCTAATTGCCTGAGACAAAATGTTGGGAATATCTACTCAATTTTTAATTTTCACAGCATTTGTAGGTCTTGTCTGGATTGAAATACGTTTTGCACTCAAAGTGTCTCATCCTGGACCACTGGTAACAGGTATTTATATCTTTACGGACTGTAACAAAGGGAAAGATTTTCCCTCCTTTTTAGACTAGGGAATGAGTATGTTAAGTAGTGACGAATTTGTCATCCACACTGCTGAGAAAACCTGACCTATCATGAGCCCATTAACTCGTTAAGAGCTAACAGAGAAGAGTGTAGACATATTTCCCAGTCTCTCACAGGCCTCTACACACTCATCCTGTCTAATCAGAGGCTGGCAATTTCTGGGTCACAAGGACCACCTTTCGAGGCCTACTCCTCAGAGAATTCCACAGTGAGCAGGTGGGGTCATGGGAAAAAGGAGTTCAGGAAGTTGCAGGCAAGTTTAATGCGGGAGGCCCCATGGGTTTCACCTACCTTCTAACAATGACCCAGAAATGATCTCTTTACAATAGGCTGTCACTGACGGTAACAACTGAAACTGCATATTTCTCTCACCTGGATGTTTTCTGTTGAAGTGGTGTGTTGTAATCATCCACTGCTCCCATGTCACCTCGGATCTGTGAAATTCTAAAATGATAGAAATAATGACAAGAAGTCAGAACTTGACATAATAGGTTGGACTTTCCTGAATGGATTTGGCAGATTGATAAGAAGGCCAACAGAAGAAGCAGGAAGGTGTCAGTAAGGAGCTTGACATTTTCTGGACCCAATACAAGTTGCGGAGATAGACCAAGGTAAAGCTGGGTGACCTCTCAGTGGTTTTCGAGCACACAGCCCTCCTGTATAGCAACATGTGCTGGGAAGGAATCCCCAGCGTCAAAGGCCACAGTTACAACAACACTGCTCAATGACCTCCCACACCCTCCCAATAGCTGCCTGGCCTGCTGTGTTCCTTCAGCTCCACACTGTGTTATCTCTGACTCTAGCATCTGCAATTCTTGCTATCTCTGCCAGCAATAAGTTCCCTACTTTTCTCTCTAGCCTCCTCCTGCTTTCTGCTCCAGCAGTGGGATGTGGCAGGATGTGACCACAGGTGTCCAACAAAGATCTGTGTTCAGGCCTCAATTAATCACATTATTTATTAATGCCTTAGATAGTGGCATAGAAAGTCATATGCCCAAATTTGCTGATGGCACAAAGAAAGCAACATTGTAGAGGGTGTAGATAACAGTATAAAATTACAAAGGGATATTGATAGACTAAGTGAAAGGGCAAAACTGTGGCAGATGGAGTTCAATATAAGCAAGTGTGAGGTTATCCACTTTGCACCAAAAAGGATAGACCAGGGTAATTTCTAGATAGTTTGAAGTTAAACACGGTGGATGGGGGTTCAGGAGCATAAATTTATAAAATGTTATGAACAGATGCAGAGGATATACAAGAAAGCTAATGGGATGCTGGGTTTTATATCCAGAGACTGGAGTATAATGATGCAGAAGTTCTGCTGCAGGTATACAAACCCTGGTTAGACCCCACTTGGAGTACTGGCAGCACATCTGGGCCCCATACCTTAGGAAGGATAGAAGCTTGACACCATCCAGGGCAAAGCAGCCCATTTAACTGGCACCACATCCACATTCCCTATGTTCTGTGGAAGGGTCACTTGAGGGAGGGAGTACAACATAAATTTACAAGAATGTTACCCGGACTTCAGGGGTTAAGCTATGAGGAGAGATTATACGAATTAGATCTGTTTTGTCTAGTATTTAGAAAGTTAAGAGATGATCTGGTCAAGTTTTCAAGATATTAATATGAAAAGACATGGTGAATAAAGATAAACTATTTCCATTGGTTCGAGATTCTACAACTATGGAGCATATTCTAAGAATTAGGGACAGACTGTTCAGGAGAGATATTAGGAAATACTTCCAAACACAAAGGGTGGTAAATGTTTAGAAGTCTCTCCCACAAATGATAGTGGATGCTAGTTCAGTTGTTAGTTTAAACTGAGATAGTTCTTTTTTATTAAGCAAAGGTATTAAGGGATGTGAGCATTAGGCAGGTGTTTGGAGTTTGGCCACAGATCAGCCATGAGCTCATTAAATGGAGGAACAGGGTTAAGGGGCTGACATCCCATTCCTGTTCCTATGTTTCCGTTCCCAGAATATACAGCTCAATGCTTTTGGAAATGATTAACTAACAAGAAGTCTTTCAGGATAAAGACAGAAATGATCTACTGTGCGAAGGAGCTAAGTAAATATTAAGACATAATTTTCAAAATGAATTGAAACTGAAGACATAGCAGGCTAATTGTGTCAGGTGATTTCAACTGTTCCAATACAGCTACAACACTGGTATCTCCCGACAATGTGGAAAATTGCCCAAGTGCGTCCTATACTTAAAAAGCAGGACAACTATTTCCATTGGTTCGAGATTCTACAACTATGGAGCATATTCTAAGATGGAGCATATTCAATTACCGCCCCATCAGTCTCCTCTTGATCATCAGTAAAGTGATGGAAGGTGTTATTAACAGTGCTATCAAGCAGCACCTGCTCAGCAATAACCTGCTCAGTGACACCCAGTTTGGGTTCTGCCAGGGCCACTCAGCTCCTGACCTCATTACACCCTGGTTCAAACATGGACAAAAGAGCTGAATTCCACAGGTGAGATGAGAGTGACAGCCCTTCATATCAAGGTCACATTTGATGGAGTGTGGCATCGAAAAGCCCCAGCAAAACTGGAATCAATGGGTATCAATTGGACTCATACCTGGCACACAGGAAGATGGTTCATTCCTATATATAACAAGTGGATGTCTCTGATCTAACGTAGAAAGATTCTTTTTATATCACCATATAGATCCTTCTGCATATTATACAAGATCTTTGTTGATTTTTGTTATGCTTTTTCAGTTTTGATCACATATTTATACCACCTGACTTCTTCACAACTTTGGTAAATACTTGGCGCAATATCTTTAGTTCTTGGCTTGGTGCTTTCTGTAAAAATTCTATCTTTTTGGAATTCTTGGATAATCCTTGAGTTGGAACCTTGTAATCAGAGGCTAGGAATAATGCACCAAGTAACTCACCTCCTAACTCCCCAAAGGCCCACCAACTACAGGATACAAGTCAGGAGTGTGATGGAATACTCCCCACTTGCCTGGATAACTGCAGCCCCAACAACACTCAAGAAGCTCGACACCATCCAGGACAAAGCAGCCCATTTAACTGGCACCACATCCACATTCCCTATGTTCTATGAAAGGGTCACTTGACCTGAAATATTAACTCTGATTTCTCACTACAGTTGCTGCCAGATCTGCTGAGCTTTTCCAACAATTTCTGTTTTTGTTCCATATTCCCTCCACCACCAACGCTCAGGAGAAGCAGTGTGTACTATCTGCAAGATGCACAGGAGAAATTCACCAAAGATCCTTAGACAGCCCCTTTCAAACTCATGACCACTACCATTTTGAAAGAGAAGGCCAATAGATACATGGGAACATCATCATCCGCAAATTCCCCTCCAAGCCACTCACCATCCTGACTGAGAAATATATTGCCGATCCTTCAGTGTCACTGGGTCAAAATCCTGGAATTCCACGATCAGGTGGTGGAAACAACTAAGATACCCAAACAAGGGATGCAGGTGCATGGAAATATCTGCAAGTCCACCTTCAAATCATATACTATCTTGAAAATATAAAATTCTGGAACTCACTTTTTAAAAGCACTGTGGGCTGCAGTGGTTCAAGAAAACAGTACATCAACACCTTCTGAAGAATGATTAGAGATGGGTAGTAGATGCTCATGAACCAATGAAAAACAAAATTAAGAGCTGGGAATTTTAAGAAATATAGTCAAAGCAGTGTCAACTTTATACAATGGTCAATATTATCATACAGATTGAGAAATACATTTTTTTGAGGAACGGTTCTGTGTAGCGACCTGAAGCAACAACAAGAGGGAAGATTAACTTTGTCATTGTGGAAATGCAGGCTTGAGAAACTCTTGGAAGAGTGACAAAAAAAAGTCCAAAAGGGCATTTGAAATTGAAGGGAAGAAAGAACATTGTTAAGTGTGAGCATAAGTGTAGCAGTCAACTGTTAGAACATTAGAGTCTTAAACATCTCCATATAATGGTGGTCCAACTTTTTGGGATATAGCTCTTTCTACTGGCAAAACATGATGAGGAAGTTTTAACAACGTAGCTGCTCACTTTATAACAGGAATGTCCGTCCAAGTGCCACTGCGTAGTTTAGCAGAGTCTCACTGTAACATTCTTGTCTCTAAATCAGATGCTTGCGGTTTCAAATGAGAGTGTCACTGTCAGAGGTGCCATTTTTTAGCTGAAATGTGAAACCAAAACCCAGCCAGCTCTCTCAGCTGGATATAAAAAATCCCACGGCATTAGTCTGAGGGACAGCAACAAAGATTTCCATGATGTCTTACCAAATATTTAATCTAATAATCAACTCACAAAAACAGATTATCTTATCATTCTTCCAATGCTGTTTGTGGAATCTGCATTACCTACATTACTTCATGAGCTATGATAGTGCTTTGTCATGTTCTGTGGTTGTGAAAAGCAACACATCACTGCACAACTTTTTGCCACATGGAGCAGGATAGAAGTGGTAATTTTCAAATAAAGAGTGCATATCATATATAGCGAATTTAATACAATGTGACAATCAGTACGCGCAGTAGTGGCTGAAAATATTTTCTGGATATTCAGGAAATTGTCCACTTTTGTTCAAGCGACAATTTATTCAACAGAGAACAAAGTTTGCTCAGTTAAAAAACAGGAATAAAATCATATACTGTATCCCCACAGTCTGTATTCCATCTAGTGGTACACAATGTCAATGTAGGTAGGCCTAGGTCCAATCAGATTTCCTTCCTTCATTAACTCCTCCCTCAGAAACTAATGATGACTCTCACTTACCCAATAATTGAAGGAAACTTACTTGGTAAAGAGTTGTTTAGATTCCTGTGGAAAAAAAAGGAGAGGAGGTCAATCACAATCAAATGCAAGAAAGGGGATGAGATTCATGCCAAAGAGATCCCCACTTCAGAAGTACAGAATTGTTACAGCACAGAAGGAGGCCATTCAGCCCATCATTTCTGCATCAGCTCTCTGAATGAGCAAAAAACATAAGTTGCTGGTGAAACTCAGTGGGTCTGGCAGCATCTGTGGAGAGAAATCAGAGTTAACGTTTTGGGACCAGTGACCGTTCTTCAGAACCATTGCCAGACCTGCTGAGTTTTTCCAGCAATTTCACTTTTTAAAAGTTTCCTATCTCTACTAATGTCTATAGACACCACCCACCCGCTTCCCCTTCCCAACCTCTGAGTAAAAAGGTTTTTCTTTAAAACCCCTGTAAACCTTTCACTTTAAAATTATGCCCCCTTCGACCAAGGGAAACAGCTGTTTCTATCCAGTCAGTCAATGCTCCTTCTAATCTTACACACCTAATCAGGTCCCTTCTCATTCTTCCTTGCTCCAAAGAGAACCAGAACTTTCCAGCCTTTTCATACTTGAAAATGTTCCAATCCAGGCAACTTCCTGGTGAATCTCTCTCATACCTCTTTCAGTGCAATCTCATTCTTCCAATAGTGCAGTGACCAGACTGCACACAGTATTCCAGCTGCAGTCTAACCAAAGTTTTGTACAACTCCAGCGTGATTTCCCCACCCTTTAGTTTACAGGAACAAAACACAAGAGCCTCTGAAACTAATCAAGATGTTTGTAGAGCAGTGAAAACAACTACTGACAGAGTTCTGGGACCGACTCTCACAAGCCTCTGACATGCAAGAACATTTGAAAATCTCCCAAACAATGATAAAACAAAAAGGAAACAACCATATCAAGGTCCGAGACTTTCAGCTGGGTGACTACAGATTCAGGCACAATCAATTTCAGATGATCCTTTAAATGGCCCGTTCAGTGGCCTGTGCAGCGTAGCAAACAAGTCTGTGGAAGTGATTGAGACCCAGATCAGTGAGAAAAGCAAAAGGTTGAATCATGTCAACAGGATAAAGCAATACCAAGATGGGGACAAGCAGGTAACAGTCTGTCCCATTGCCGTTGTCCTAAAGGCTGAGAGCAGCAGCAAGAGTAAATTGGAAGGAGATATGTATGAGGCCTACATTAAATTTCCTACTAACAAATACAGAAATACTGCCAAACTTGGACTCCTTAATCAGCCATCTAACTGCAGAGTAGTGAGCAGACATTATGAGGATCCTCACTTATTTAAGGATTTACATAGAAACAAGCCAGACTGCACCATCTTGGCTCTACGTAATGTAGACGTGAGAGAGGGATCTGTTAGTCACATCTTTATTGACTAGGCCCATAAAAGTTCGCCCGTCTCAAAACGGCTAATAGTAGACTGTCCATTATGTATCTAGAGGGCAAGAAAGAAGAAGTACAAGTCATATTATAAAGCACAAGTTACACCACACCTGGAATACTGCAAACAGTTTTTGGTCACTACACCTTAGACAAATACATTGAACTTGGAGGGAGAACAGTGTAGACTTACCAGAAATGTCATCTCTCTGCCTAGAGTTAGAAGGAGACATTACACAAACTAGAACTCTATTTGAACATAGACATTGAACATAGAACAGTACAGTACAGTACAGGCCCTTCGGCCCACGATGTTGTACCGATCTATTATCCTACTAAGATCAAACTAACCTGCATACCCTACATTATACTATCATCCATGTGCCTATCCAAGAGTCGCTTAAATGTCTCTAATGTTTCTGACTCCACTATCACTGCCGGCAGTGCATTCCACACACCCACCACTCTCTGTGTAAATAACCTACCTCTGACATCTCCCCTATACCTTTTGTTGGAACCTTTTTTATTCATGAGACTTGGGCATTACTGGCTGGGCCAGCATTTATTTGCCATTGAGAGGCTGGTGGTGAACTGCCTTTTTTGAACCTTTGCAGTCCTTGTGCTGTAGATAGACCTACAAAGTCCTTAGGGAGGGAATTCCAGGATTTTGACCCAATGATACATTTCCAAGTCAGGATTTTACAGGAACTTGCAAATGGTGGTATTCCCATGTATTTGCTGACCTTATCCTTCTACACAGTACTGTTTAAAATTTTGGAAGGTTTGAAGGGTGTCGTCTAAGGCGATTTGGTGAATTTCTGCAGTGCATCTTGAAGACAGTACACGCTACTGCTACTGAGCGTCGGTGATGGAGGGAGTGGATACTTGTGGATGTAGTGCCAATCAAACAGGCTGCTTTGTCCTGGATGGTGTCAAGCTTCTTGAGTGCTGTTGGAGCTGCAATCATCCAGGCAAGTGGGGAGTACTCCATCACACTCCTGCCTTATAGAGGGTGAACAGGCTTTGGGGAGTCAGGTGGTTACTCACCGCTGTATTCCTAGCCTGTTCTTGTAGCCACAGTATTTATGTGGCAAGCCCAATTGAGTTTCTGGTCAATGATAACCCCAGGATGTTGATAGTGGGGAATTCAGTGATGGTAATGCCATTATATGTCAAAGGACAATGGTTAGATTGTCTTTAATTGGTCGTTGCCTGGGCATTTGTATGGTGAAAATGTTACTTGCCATTTTTTAGACCAAGCCTGAATATTACCCAGCTCTTACAGAATCTGGATATGCACTGCTTCAATATTTGAGTCATCGTGAATGTTGTTGAACATCGTGCATCATCAGTGAACATCCCCACTTCGGACTTAATAATAGAGGGAAGGTCATTGATGAAGCTGAAGCCTAGGACACTACCCTGTGGACCTCTTGCAGCGATGTTCTGGAGCTGAAATGACTGACCTCCAATGACCAGAACCATCTGTCCAAAGACGTGCAGGTCAGATGAACTGGCCATGCTAAATTGCCCATAGTGTCCAGTGATGTGCAGGCTAGGTGGATTAGCCATGGAAGATGCAGGTTTACAGGAATGGGGTAGGGTGATGAGTCTCCTGCGCATTGTACCAATTCTATGATTTGACTGAACTTTAAGAATGGGAGGGGTTGACGGATTAGATAGACTGATTCAACTTTTACCCACTTGCTGGACAATCTACAACTAGGGGTATAGTCTACATCAAAGAGCCAGGTCTTAAGGAGTGAAACTGGGAAATAGTTCTACATGCAAAGAATGGTCAAAATTTAGAATACACTTCCACAAATGCAACAAATGCTCAATTAATTGTTCATTTTAAATCTGAGCTTGATCGATTTTTTCTATCAAAATATATTGAGGGATAATGGGGTCAAGATTTAAATTAGGTGTCATATCAGACAAGATCCCAATGAATGAAAGAAAAGTTTTGAGCAACTAAATAGCATGGTGGCTCAGTGGTTAGCACTGCTGCCTCACAGCGCCAGGGACCCGGGTTTGATTCCAGCCTCGGGCAACTGTCTGTGTGGAGTTTGCGCATTCTCCCTGTGTCTGTGTGGGTTTGCTGTGGTTTCGTCCCACAGTCCAAAGATGTGCAGGCTAGTTGAATTGGCCATGCTAAATTGCCTGTAGTGTTCAGGGGTGTGTGGGTTATAGGGGGATGGGTCTGGGTGGGATGCTCCAAGGGTTGGTGTGGACTTGTTGGGCCGAAAGGCCTGTTTCCACACTGTGGGGATTCTATGATTCTAAACAGCTAACTTCTGTTCCCACATAAAGAAATGGAATTATGTTCAGCTGTGCAACCTCCTGCTGTTCACTAAATCATGGCTACATTTTATTCACATGCATTCAGACTGATCACTTGAGGGAGATACTAAAAGACTGCTAGTAGTTATGCAAGCGACAGGGAAAGCAGGACATAACAAGAAATATGAACTATACCTGAAGAAAGGAAAGGCAATCCATTTTCATTTGCTTCTCTGTTTCAGTATCTATTAATTTAATCTGTTCCATCTTTTGTTCCAGTGATTTTGACTTGCTCCTAATTTCAGACAGCACTCGATTCTCCTCATCATTAATCAGTTTAAGGGCATATTTCTCATCTTCTTCCAGTTGTTTCCTCCATTCAGTGAACTTATCCGATAGCTTTTCTTTCAGCTCATTGGAGCGTGTCTAAAAATCCAAACACAAACCACATTCACATGTTTTTATACAGAGAACTGTATAAGATCAGTTCAGAACACTCTGCACATAGGAAGTGGACAGCCTTTACATCATTAATTACTTGTCCTCGAGAAAGTGATGGGCAACCACTTTCTTGAACGTTTGGAGTGAGTAGAGAAGGTGCTCCCAAAGTGCTATTAGGTTGGGTCTTTCAGGATTTTACCAAGAAGGGAGGAATGTACAGCAGGATGTCCAAATTAAGATAGTGTGTTGTGACCTTTTTTTTGGTGGTGGGGGGTAGTTGGAGACAGTAGTGTTCTCATGCACCGTTCTGACAGCCGTGCTCACACCCACACTTTTCAATATTCTCAGACTTCCTGAGAACATTTTAACTTTACAATCAAAATATTGAGTTTATAAGTGATTCATCTCCTAGAGTCAGAGCCTTGGACATGCTTTCAGCAACTTGCTATTCCATGCATCAACAGAGACTGGGTAAGGGTGGAGTAGACTGAAATTCCAGGTGCCTGGTTCTATCATGTGCGATGGAACCTGACCAACTGCCTGGTAGGGAAGCTGTAAGGATTAGTTAACATTGGTGGAATGGTGGTTGTCACTAGATCAGGAGTCAGCATTGTAAATATAGAAGGTGGTAGGCGAAATCACCTCCAAAAATCAGAAAGAAAGACATCCTTGTACATGGAATGGGCAGAGTCTCTCTGAAATACTGTGTTTCTTTCCAATGTTGGCTGTTGATAGACTCACTGTGAACCTCTAAAATGATTCGTACCATTGGACTGCAATGGTTCAAGAAGGCAGTGCAGCACTGAGCTCTCCAGGGAAATTAAGGATGGGCAACAAATGTTGGCCTAACCAGTGACAACCGCATCCATGAACTAACATAAAAATTAAATCATGAGGGAAGGTAATGGCCTAGTGGTATTATCACTAGACTATTAATCCAGAGAGCAAGGGACTGTCCTGGGGACCCGGCTTCAAACCCTGCAGATAGTGTAGTTTGAATTCAATAAAAGAAATGTGGACTTAAGGCCATGAATCTATTGTCAATTGTTGGAATATCCCATCTGGTTCACTAATGTCCTTTAGGAGGGAAACTGCCATTCTTACCTGATCTGACCTACATGTCACTCTAGACCCTCTGCAATGTGGTTGACTCTTAACTGCCCTCTGGGCATTTAGGACAATGACAATAAACGCTGACCTAGCCAGTGACACCCTCATGCCATGAGTGAATTTTAAAAAAAGGCTCGTAGTTGCAGGGCATAATTTCAAAATGAGCAGATGACATACACCTTGGAAACACTGTGAATCATGAGAAGAATATTGATTGTACATGTTTAAACATAAAAAGCCTGGTGGAATGGGCATACAGCCAGTAGACATCAATTCTCAAGGAACAAGTACATGCTCAGTGGAATTCCCTGAAACCCCACTGTACAAAAACCAAACAGCTCACCCCTTATTAAGCACATGGAGCGCTTGATGTAATTAGTGACATGCCCCTAAGAGGACAATCCTGATATCACACGTTTACCCAACTCTTAGGAAAATCATTTTGAAATCTATTTACACAAGATTCCTACCTTTATTTCACTTTCTGCTTTCTTCAAGTTTTCTTGATCAATTGAAGCATTTTTCTGAATCTCATGAAGGTCCCCACATTCTTTCTTCAATTTGTCCTAAAAATTGCATTTTAAAATAGTTTAACAAGTTGATTCCCAGAAACTAACTTGCTTAATTGTGATTGTCTTTTTAAAACTTCACTTATGTTTTCTCTGGATTGTTTGAGTCCTGCAATATGAACCTCCCCTCAATTCCGGAACAAGACAATACTTACCTTGACTGTGGCTTCTGCCTGATCTAGGCTCAGCAGATTATGAGATTTGTGTCGTCCTATCACTGTACAAGATATGCACACACACTGTTCGTCCTGCTCGCAGTAAAACTCGAGAATCTTCTTATGATCCAGACACTGTTTCTTCGTAAGGTCATCTAGAGGCTCGATCAGGATATGATCCTGGTAAGTTTTCTTTGTCAAATGTGGCTTTAAATGAAGGGAACAAAATGAGGTCTCACATTTGAGACATGTCTTCACCGCTGGAGATGGATTCTCAATGCAGTACTCACACATAACAGGGGTAGATTCAGCAGCGGTAACCTGGGACTGGTTGTATTTCTCCACGATATTACGCAAAGTGAAGTTTTTCTTCAGTTGAGGCCTAGGTTTGAATGTTCTGCGGCATTCAGGACAGCTAACTCCAAGCTGATTGGTTACATGTTTCCAAGCCTTGTTGATGCACTGAAAGCAGAAGCTGTGCTGACAGGGCAATATGACGGGATCCTGGTACACCTGGAGACACACAGAACAAGTTAACTCCTCTTCGAAAGCTCCAGATTCCATTCTCGCAAAGCTAAGGAGAGAGCTCTCTTCTGCACAGGGTTTTGTGTAGCCAAAAATAAAACAGGAAGTGAAAGGACGGAAATGTCCTGGTGGAGTAAACTACTTTCAGTTTCAGTTGAAGTTTAATTGACTTCATAAGCGTGCAAAGGATCATTTTAACTCCTTCCATCCTCTTTATAAACAGGTTGGTAGAAACCAGAAAATCTGCCCTGACGGAAAATGCTGGAGACCAGTTTGAGCATTGTTTGGACAAAGACTGCTTTGTTAGAAAAACGGAAAATGCTTCAGAAACTGAGAAGATCTGGAGTCATGTGAAAAGAGAAACATTTCTGGAAAAGGTCAAATTTTAATTGATATGTGGTCAGTTGCTTCACGTTACTGAAGACAAATTACAGGCAATTCAACCACAACATCAACACCACAAAGAGCCGAAGCTCTTTATCCTGGTTTATTCTCAAAGATTAATTTATAATTTTGTATTCGCCTTCGTAAATCACTTCAATAGTTGTCTGCAAGATAAAACATGACACTATTTAACCTGTTAAGCATTCCTGTGTTTTCCAATCTGATTATTGGAGGGTTAACATTGAATTTTCCTTTTCTGATTCATCCTCCAATTGCTTTGATGTTTTTGCCTCTTGATTAAATTTTAAAAATAAAGGTACTAAGTTAGCTGGAGAAGTGTTTTTTTTTAGAGCAGTACGACTGCTATTTTCTACATCGGTAGATTGTTAAGGTGCAAAGATGGCATTTAGTGATGTGCTCTTCTCGTTGGATGTGGGAGATTGGGTCGAGTTTCCATTTCAAAAGTGAAAGAACTGTGGATGCTGTGAATCAGAAACAAAAAGCTGCTGGAAAAGCTCAGCAAGTCTGGCAGCATCTGTGAAGAGAAATCAGAGTTAATGTTTTGGGTCCACTGACCCTTCCTCAGGCCTGCCAGAGTTTCCATGTTACTGATGATTATGTCTGCAGGAAGTGTGTTTGGTTGTGAATCATAGATCAGTTTGAGCCGTAGTTAGAAGCTATGAGGAATTTACAGGAGCTAGGAGGTGTGGTGGATGACAGTTGCAGGAAGGGGGATAAAGCAGAAATACAGAGATAGTAGGAACTGCAGATGCTGGAGAATCCGAGACAACAAGGTGCAGGGCTGGATGAACACAGCAGGCCAAGCAGCATCATAGGAGCAGAGAGGCTGACGTTTCGGGCCTCGACCCTTCATCAGAAAAGGGGGAGGGGAAGGGGGTTTTGAAATAAATAGGGAGAGAGTGGGAGGCGGATAGAAGAGGGATAGAGGAGAGGATAGGTGGAGAGGAAACAAACAGGTCGAAGAGGCGGGGATGGAGCCAGTGAAGGTGAGTGTAGGTAGGGAGTTAGGAAGGGGATAGGTCCGTCCAGGGAGGACGGACAGGTCAAGGGGGCGGGATGAGGTTGGTCGGTAGGAGATGGAGGTGCGGCTTGAGGTGGGAGGAGGGGATAGGTGGGAGGAAGAACAGGTTAGGGAGGCAGGGACGAGCTGGACTGGTTTTGGGATGCGGTAGGGGGAGGGGAGATTTTGAAACTTGTGAAATCCACATTGATACCATTGGGCTGCAGGGTTCCCAAGCGGAATATGAGTTGCTGTTCCTGCAACCTTCGGGTGGCATCGTTGTGGCACTGCAGGAGGCCCAGGATGGACATGTCGTCTGAGGAATGGGAGGGGGAGTTGAAATGGTTCGCGACTGGGAGGTGCAGTTGTTTATTGCGAACCGAGCGTAGGTGTTCTGCAAAGCGGTCCCCGAGTCTCCGCTTGGTTTCCCTGATGTAGAGGAAGCCACACCGGGTACAGCGGATGCAGTATACCACATTGGCAGATGTGCAGGTGAACATCTGCTTGATGTGGAAAGTCTTCTTGGGGCCTGGGATGGGGGTGAGGGAGGAGGTATGGGGGCAGGTGTAGCACTTCCTGCGGTTGCAGGGAAAAGTGCCGGGTGTGGTGGAGCTGGAGGGGAGTGTGGAGCGGACAAGGGAGTCACGGAGACAGTTGTCCCTCCGGAAAGCAGATAAGGATGGGGAGGGAAAGATGTCTTTGGTGGTGGGGTCGGATTGCAGATGGCGGTGGGGTCGGATTGCAGATGGCGGAAGTGTCGGAGGATGATGCGTTGGATCCGGAGGTTGGTGGGGTGGTACGTGAGGACGAGGGGGATTCTTTTTTGGTTCTTATTGCGTGGACGGGGTGTGAGGGATGAGGTGCGGGAGATGTGGGAGACACGGTTGAGGGCGTTCTCGAGCACCGAGGAGGGGAAGGGTTAGGGTTAGGGTTAAGTTTCAAAATCTCCCCTCCCCCTACCGCATCCCAAAACCAGTCCAGCTCGTCCCTGCCTCCCTAACCTGTTCTTCCTCCCACCTATCCCCTTCCTAACTCCCTACCTACACTCACCTTCACTGGCTCCATCCCCGCCTCTTCGACCTGTTTGTTTCCTCTCCACCTATCCTCTCCTCTATTCCTCTTCTAAACCAGAAATACAGTCAGGTAAATAGGTTACTGTCAGGAAAGGTAGGAGAGGGAGGAAGGTTATGCAGGAGTCTCCTGTGGCTATCCCCATCTCAAACAAGTATGCTGTTTTGAAAAATGAAGGGGGTGAGGGACTCTCAGGGGAATGTAGCACTGACAGCCAGGTTTCTGGTACCGAGACTGGCGCTAATGTAATGAGGGCTACGTCAGATTCCAAGTGAATGATTGTGATGGGGGGGGCTGTCTAGTCAGAGGCACAGACAGACATTTCTGTGGTCGACCGTGATACATCAGAATGGTGTGTTGCCTCCGTGTGAGGATGCAGAATATTCTCAAAGGGGAGAGGGACCACAGGAGGTCACTGTACACATTGGAACTAACAACATAGGAAGGGAAAAGGATGAGATTCTGAGGAGAGAATATAGGAAGTTAGGCAGGAATTTAAAAAGGGGGTCTTTGAAGGTAGTAATATCCGAATTACTCCTGGTGCCACAAGCTAGTGAGGGTAGGAATAGGAGGATAGAGCAGATGCATGCGTGTTTGAGGACCTGGCACAGGGGAGAAGGATTCACATTTTTGAATCATTGGAATGTCTTCTGGGGAAGAAGTGACCTGTATAAGAAGGACAGATTGCACCTGAATTGAAAGGGGACCAATACAGGCGGGGAGATTTGCTAGAGCTGCTCAGGAAGATTTAAACTAGTAAGGGGATAGGTGGGTTGGGTGACACCCAGGGAGATAGTGAGGAAAGAGATCAGTCTGACACTTGTACATTTGGGAAAAGGAGTAAGTCAAATAGTCAGGGCAGGCAGGAACAAAGCACAGAACGAGGGAGGACTGATAAACTACATTGATTTCAATGCAAGAAACCTAACAGGTAAGGTAGGTGAACTCCACGCATTGTTGAGAATATGGGGCTGGAATTTCATAGCAACTACAGAGACATGGCTCTGGCACATTAATGTTCCATGGTAAAGATGCGATTGGAAGGATATAAAAGGGGGCAAGAGAGGAGGGGGAGTGGCACTTTTGATTAGGTATAATATTACAACTATACTTAGGGCGGATATTCCTGGGAATATGTCCAGGGAAATTATTTGGGTGGAACTGAGAAGTAAGAAAGAGATGATCACCTTTTTGGGATTGTACTGTAGGCCCCCCCAATAGTCAGCGGGAAATTGAGAAACAAATTTGGAAAGAGATCTCACTTATCTGTAAGAATAATACGGTGGTTATGGTAGGAGATTTTAACTTTCCAAGCATAGACTAGTACTGCCACAGTGTTAAGGGCTTGGACAGAGAGGAATTTCTTCAGTGTGTACAAGAAAATTTTCTGATTCAGTATGTAGATATACTTACTAGAGAAGATGCAAAACTTGACCTACTCTTGGGATATAAGACAGGACACGTGACTGAGGTGTCAGTGGGGGAGCACTCTGGGGCCAGTGACCATCATTCTATTGGTTTTAAAACAATGACGGAAAAAGATAGAGTGGATCTAAAAGTTAAGATTCTAAATTGGAGGAAGGCCAATTTTGACAGTATTAGGCAAGTGCTTTCAGAAGCTGACGGGGGGGGGGGGGGGGGGGGGGGG